CCCCCACCACCCTTACCGCATAGCTACAGCTCTTGGTGACATGCATGGTAAAATTACTTCAGCAAAGGGAGTAAGAGTAGACACCAGGGCATTTTGGGTCTGCTTCGGTAAGTCTCGCAGGAAAAAACGCTTCTCCCTCAACAGCTGTGTTCATACCCTATAAAAGGGGGTTTTTTGGTGTATGTATATCCTCAGCAGATGCTTGCAATCATCTGAGTACAGTCACAACAAAGAGAGTTGGATAATTGTGTCATGACTGATTTCATCACCCTGTTTTAACCTGATTCTGCATTCCTTGATTGAATATCCAGAGTCCATACGAAACATACAGACCAGACCCCTCTATTGATAATCAGTGCACCTTTGTGCAAAATAATAATGCAAGACACCTTTTGCGTGGCACAGGTTGACAGTTGTGCGGGTCAGCTTGCTGGACAAATACCATTGTGTGTATGCTGGCAGGCGGTAAAAGAGTTACAGAGCAAGAATAATAACCAAAAACCTTTTCAATTGTTCCTAACATGTGTTTCAAATAATAATCCTTCGTGGTGAGAGAAGCAAATATATTCAGCCGCTGGTTTAACCAGCAACAGAGCAGAATTGCAAAAGAGAGGCTGAAACTTTCCATGTATCCAGTAAACAGTGTCTCTTTTAATTCCAAAAAAAAAAAAAAAATCTGCAATAAGGAAAAACCTCCTATGACTATTACTGTCCTCACCTGCTATCTTCAGGGTGAATTACCACCAAAATCCACCTTTTTCTTTTGAGTCTGTCTAAATTTTGGGACAGTACTGGCCACTGATGGAATGGATCTAGATTTCCAAAATTTACATATTGCCGAGTTTTCTCCTCACATGCCAATAACGCTGACCCCCGGGTACCTGCAGCCACCCGCTCGGGCTGTGTCCACTCCAGCCGTCTCTTGATGGGCGGCGGATGCTTGCTGGGATGGGTCTGGGAGCTTGTATTCAATCAGAATGCAGAACTACGAGGCAAACGTCACCTCTTCAGTAAACGTGTGTTTTGTTTTCTCATTTTCGTGTTTCTTACTGGTTTTCCAAGAAACATGTCAGAACACTGTACAACTGCATGTAATCACCCATTTTAATGCTTTCACCTTTTGCATTTCTTTTTTTAAAGCTCAAGAGTCCGCTGACCTTATTTTCCTTATTGACGGATCAAACAACATCGGAAGTGTCAATTTCCAAGCCATACGTGATTTCCTTGTAAATTTGATTGAAAGCCTCAGAGTTGGAGCTCAGCAAATACACATTGGGGTGGTGCAGTATAGTGATCAACCCAGAACTGAGTTCGCTTTGAACAGCTACTCCACAAAAGCGGACGTTCTGGATGCCGTGAAGGCACTTAGTTTCCGCGGTGGCGAGGAAGCGAACACCGGTGCGGCACTGGAGTTTGTGGTGGAGAACCTCTTCACCCAGGCGGGAGGCAGCAGGATAGAGGAAGCAGTGCCTCAGATCTTAGTGCTGATAAGTGGTGGAGAGTCTAGTGATGATATCCGAGAGGGCTTGTTAGCGGTGAAGCAAGCTAGTATATTTTCATTTAGCATTGGGGTCCTGAATGCTGACAGTGCAGAGCTGCAGCAGATTGCTACTGATGGAAGCTTCGCATTTACTGCCCTGGATATCCGTAACCTTGATGCTCTTCGAGACTTATTACTGCCCAACATTGTTGGAGTGGCCCAAAGACTCATTTTGTTAGAGGCCCCAACCATTGTGACTGAAGGTATGTATACCTTTCTAGACTGTTGCATTTCGATGAATCAGTGAATGAATGAGCTTTTGCAGGCTTTAAAAACATCTATTTTTTTAAAAAAAACCCTAAGATTGTATTTTTGCAATGCATCTCTCTGGTCTGGTTATGGAGAAACAATGGGAAAGACAAATAGTCCTGTGGCTAGCGTACAGAAACTTGTTCGCCCAGTGGGTTATCTTTTGAAAACCATGAGGTTTTGTGTCAATAACTGGCATGGCATGGGGTTTCAAAGAACACAAGCAGAGTATAAAAAAAACTTGCATAATCCTTCTATAGATATACATATAACCTAAGCGCCCCGTGGGTAAATACTGCAGCACCTTCAGTTCTGAAAACTTTTGTTGCATAAGCTTACATTATATAGCAATTGCAAGTGTCACCAGAATTAAATCTCACTGGGGAAGCTAACAGGGATGTTAAATGGATCCCTGTTTCACAGAGTTAAAGTTACCAGCTTGCTAAAACAGTAACAGGCTGTACCTCATTGAAACTGTGTGCTACCCTTGGGAAACGGCTAAAGTTCCTGTGGTGTTAAACTTAATAACGAAACAGCCCCTAGTTCTTGTTAATTGAAATCCCTACCCTGCTAACATCTATCTCCCTTCAATTCATAAGCTGAGAAAGTTTACCGCTTTCCATGAGGCCACGGGAAAAGAAAATGTAGGTGTCAATATTGTCAATATTCTCAATATTCCACTTTGTCACTTAACTCCCCATTGACATTATTTCTGGACTAGCGTTAGCTTGGGTACAGCGGAATAATGAATATCTGGATTTATGGAGCAAGTGGGTGGTTAAGAGTTTCTCACCCTATGGTTTTATGACTTAGTTAAAATTACTGATAGAGTGGCTTTATGAATCACAGAATCATAGAATCATTAAGGTTGGAAAAGACCTCAAGGATCATCAAGTCCAACCGTCAACCCAACACTACCCAACCCACTAACCCATGTCCCGAAGCACCACATCTACATGTTTCTTGGACACCTCCAGGGAAGACACAATAAGTTGTATTTCAGAGGCCCCTGGAAAGGGCCGGGCTGTGCTGCATTTAATTACCAGGACGCTTAATGAGAACAACACTTCTGGGGGCCAAGTGCCCGTCTGGAGTTCTGTACATACTGTTCAACTCATGATGTACATTGACATATAAAACTGCATTCCAGATGTCTTTGCTCATCTGTGTCTAAACATGATTGCTATCCTGTGGCTCAAATCAAAGGGAGGAATTTGCCTAAAAGATCATTTTATGACCTTGCCTTGATTATTCCAGGAAAGAACATAAAGAACTTTTGCCTGTAGCACCCCACAACGACCATATTTAGCTAAATAAGCTGGAGTGTGCGTGTCTAGCTAAAACGTGTGCACACCAGAACCCGTGCAAGTCAATGGAAAATGCCTCTTTCTTTTTAACGCCATTTGAATGGCAAGATTAAGAATGTTGGTACCTTTGGTTTCGTCTGCACTTGCATATTTTTCACTTAAAATTCCAGCTCATTTGCAGAAGATACTACAGTAGCATTAGCCTGTGCAATTGCATATAGATGGATACGCTAAATGGAGAAGTTGGTGTTTTCAAAGGAGCTTTAGGGAATTTCCTTTGCCTAGTGTCCACGGAAATTAATTTTGACTGGTCTGCTTGATTCACATCAGTGCCTTGGAAGTCTGCAGCGTAAAGCACTGGTTTGGGACACACACCGCATCCCCAAAGGGACACCAAACCCATTGAGATGCCAAGCCGTCCTGTGAAAGCCACCTCGCTTCACTTTAGCTCTCCGGCTGTACGCTAGTCCTCCTGGGATGAATGGATGTCTCAGAGTGCCTTTCTGCCTCTCTTCTCCCCTCTCCTTTATCTCCCGGGGGAGCCCGGATGATTAAATTAGATGAGGTGCCTCACCAAAGATGAGAGGGCAACGAGGAGGGAACTCTGCAGGGCTGGGTTTGATGCCGACAGTCTCTGACACTCCCAACTTTTAGAGTCAAAGATACAATGCTTTGATCCCAAATCCTCTGAAATTCCTGGGAGACTTGCCATCAGCTTCACTGGGCTCTGGATCAGACCTTGTGAGATGTGCAACAGCCTTGCTTAAACGCTTTTGCTCTAATTCTGCCCATTGACACTAGCACCCCGGGGTGTTTCTTCCTGTGGGTTTTTGGTTTCGGTTCTTGCATTCCTCTTCTCTAAGGAAAAGCACTGAAGGATTTGAGAGCTGCAAGAGGAATGAGTAGCAGAGGGAGCTATTCCTTCCCAGCCTCCCTCATCTCTGCAAAGCCCCTTTGGTGTTTCCCGCAAGCTTCTATGCAAAGTCAAAAGTTTCCAGGGTCCCCATTTTTGGGTATCCAGCTGCTGACAAGCTAAGGAAGCACTCTGGATGTCTCTCCCAGGTGATACAAAGCCGGGATTTCAGCCCTTGTTATCCCTGGGCAAAGTTTCCTCTTTTCAGCCTTCACCTCAGAGAGCAAAAAATCCCTGCATGCTGGGGGATGAATGCTGGAAATCTCACGGCTGTGGGAAGGGGATAGTTTAAACAAATCCTTGTTATGTTGCGAGTAGCTCTGTTTTGGTAGCCCGGGTAGCCAACTGCAGGCCACCAGCAGCTCACACAAGGCTGTGGCTCAAGGAGGGCACCAGCACGTTCACTTTGTGCAAGGTCTCATCGTTCTGTGTCCAGCAGCACCACGGTGGGCTATTCTAATCTTCCAATCCTGACCATCAGTCTTTACTCAAACAATTCCCAGCAGGACGCTGCGAGAGGCTTTTGCAAAGGCCGGTGTTGCCAGTGGAGGAGGCAGGTCTCTCGGGGTCCCGGGGCAGAGGAGGCAGCCAAATTGCAGGGGTCACCTCTAGCTCTAAATCGCTCCTTGGGGCAGCCCAATCCCACAGCACTCACCCATGATGAGGAACCTGATGGAGACCGGCTGTTGGGAGCACTGCTTTCAGTGGCCAGCTGGTGTCCGGCCATGGCCAGGGAGGACTACAGCCAGAGCTTTGTTCTCTGCTCAGATCCAAAGCAAACAGCCTCCACACAGAGGAGCCCTGATGGGTCAAGGGGCTGCCCTCTTCCACCCAGGCAGGACAAGGGGCTTTGCTGCCACTTGCCCCGCGGGGTGTGAGACCCCAACAGTGCCGGGTCTCCTCTTCCCCCGGGCTGTGTGCTAGGAGTAGCATCAAGCCTGGGGGGTGATGGACCTGCTGCCTTGAGTAGTGACCACGTCTCAGGAGCTTTGAGACGGGTAGGCAAGTTAAGGACACCCCAAGTCCAACATAACACAATGATCCATAATGCTCCAGCATGACCTGGAAGCAACGCGAGGTTTCCTCTTTCACTTCAATGACACAAAACCAGGGAGGTGATGATGTGAGGGGGGTTCTTCACAACACTGGCCATGGCTCACTGATTCAGAGAATAAGCGAGGGTTGTCTAAAAGATGGTGCTGAGATTATCTCCCATAATGCTCACACATAATGCTTTTATCATAACGGCATTGGCTTTGTTAATATTTACTGTTGGTTTATGTACATTTGCTGTAATGAATACGATGGTGTTCTTGGTTCCAATGCTGTACAACAGGTTTTTTTTTCCCCCCCTTAACTGTTTTCCTTCAAACTTAGCCAGGGAACTGGAAAGCTAATTTTGTTCTTTCTGTGTCCTATGCCATCATCAATAATAAAGTTTCAGACATTACAACCCAGGGGATCCGTTTTGTTAGAGACATGGCAACTAGCATATAATCCAGCTCTTCCACGACTGGGCTGGCTGTGCCAAGAAAAATCATAACTTGCTTTTGTTAGATAAAGAATAAGATGTAGGATGTGAAGATCCAAAGTCCAGGTACGTTGGCTAAGGGGAGACTGTTCTTTACTTGTGTCGTTGCTCTTGAGAACCTAATCCTTCTGAGACCAAACCACTCTCTGGCGTAATTCAGATGGCTCCACTGCAGAGAGAAGGAACATCACCTGCTTGTTTTATCTCGTGTGCCAGCTGAGCGCCCAGACTTCTCCTGACTGTTTGCCTTTCTTTCTTGTTTTGACATGTATATAAATTTTAATATTAAGTTTTATAAACAATTAAAATCTTGCAACTCTTCCGTGTTCTAGAAAGGGGAAATGTTCAATCACATTTTTTATTAGCCCTGCTAGAACCTAAACAATACTTGCTTTGAAAGCAAGACCCTTTTAAAGGCATTGAGCCTAACAGTATTTCAAGCAAATAAAAAGTCCTAAACGTTACTGAGCTGTTGACGTAGAATTGATGCATGCAGTGTGGTGAAGGCTTCCCGCTAACATTATGTTCATGTGTTACTTGCAGTTATTGAAGTGAACAAGAAGGATATAGTCTTCCTGATAGATGGCTCAACTGCTTTGGGGAGTGGCCCCTTTAACTCAATTCGTGATTTCGTTGCCAAAATTGTCCAAAGGCTGGAGGTTGGACCCGACCTGATCCAAGTGGCGGTGGCACAGTATGCAGACACTGTGAGGCCAGAGTTTTATTTTAACACCCACCAGAGCAGAAAGGATGTGATGGCTAACGTGAAGAGGATGAAGTTCATGGGCGGTACGGCACTCAACACTGGCTCGGCACTGGACTTTGTGAGGAACAACTTCTTCACCAGTGCTGCTGGGTGCAGGATGGAGGAAGGGGTGCTCCCCATGCTGGTGCTCATCACTGGTGGTAAGTCCAGTGATGCCGTTGACCAAGCCGCGGCGGAGATGAAGAGGAACCGGATAGTGATCCTTGCCATTGGGTCGAGAAACGCCGACCTGGCAGAACTCCAAGAAATTGCCCATGAGAGAGATTTTGTGTTCAATCCGAACGACTTCCGTGTTCAGTTCCTGCAAGCCATTCTTCCTGAAGTGCTGTCGCCTATCCGGACCCTCTCTGGAGGACTGATTATCCAAGAACCACCATCAGGTAATTAATTAACTTGTTCTATTTATGGAGATATGTTTTATGCGTTTGTCAACTCTTATTCTATGATGTGTAGAGAGAAGGGGGGGAAAAGCATCAAACACATTTCAGCGTAGCTGAATGTTGTCTCTTTGACTTGCAAAATGTGCACGAACAGATTGGTGGTAGCGTGCCGCTTGTTACAGCTTTGTCGTTCCTTCCTGGAGATTTTTGTCCCATTCCGTGTTTGTCACCAACAATTAAAGGCCTGGACATGAAAGATGTGCTTTACTAGTTAGGTACTGAAATCATTCAGTGGAGGCTTTATCTCTCACTTACGGTTTGTTTAACCTACGAACAGGACACAATCTGAATGCTGTTACCTCTTCCCCTGTTTGAAAGTCATCCGTAGTGGCTATTTGCTCAAGAAAACTTAAAATTGTTTCTTCTGAGTGTAAAGAAAACAAGGCAGTTTGTTCATGGAGATGTTCAGAGAAAGCTAGCCTGACACTGTTGGACCGAAACTCGCCCTTTAAGAACATTTTTACAGTTTTCTGATCATTTACTCAGCTCAAGCCCTAAGAGGCATAAGTGTTGGTTTTAATGTAATCTGTTTAGAAGTTGATCCAAAGCCCTGTGAAGCCAGTGAATTCTTTTTACCTGGTCTTGCCATTCACATCAGTAGACTTTGGAAGCAATCCAATCACTAGAGTCATGCCTTTTGAGGCAGTTAGGGAAAATACAGGGAAGTATTTCGAGAGGTGTTCTAGCTGCACAGGGATTTTATACCAAATTTCTCAGGATTTCTTCCCAACAGAGATGTCTGAGTTTGAATTACTGTTGCACTAGATCATATATGAACCTTGCATTTCTGTCCCATGGCATATAAACATTAGAAAAACTACTTCTTCCGGCTCCCAGTAAGGTCAATACTAAGGTTTCCTTTGGCTTAAGTGGGTGTTGAACCATGCCTATATTTTTTTCTAGTTTCTCCAAACAATTTTAAATTATAAATTGCAATGCAAAAGAAACTTTTTTGGAAAGTTTTTGGAAAGAGTCCATAAAGAATTAAAGCCTATGACTGACTTACACGAAGAGCAGACATATTAAAATCAGTTTGCTGATACTTGTCCTTAATTAAGATGAATATCACGGGACTTATCATTTAATAAGCTTTTTGTCAGAATGTGTTCCCTGCTAATACAGTTTTGCATGGCTATACACCACACCTGACATTTTTGTTTTTCAGTGCAAATTAAAAGTGTTGCTAAACTTGTTCTTTAAAGCTCATTCATGCAGCTTCTCTTTTGGTTTTTTTTACCATCCTTTCGCTTTACTGCACTCACAGCTATTCACCTACACAATCAGCACAAGTAAATCAAATCCTACTCCATAAAATTACTACTATTAGTAACATACCTGATTTTGACACTGGGCGGTCTGTTACATTTCAACTGGAGATCATCTCACCCTGGGCCTCGAATGGCACTTTTCTGGGGAAAAAAAATAAAAATAAAGAAAACTAAGACAATCTGTAAAATCCAAGAGCAATTCCTGTACTCCAAAGAGCCCTTTTCTCCCTTTCAGTTTTAGTAACTCAATATTTATGTATTTTATATATGGGACATATATATAGCCATATACATATAGGTAAATGCTTTAAACAGGAAGGTGTTGGACAGCATTAGCAATAGATATGTTCTCAAATACCTCAGCTGGAGGAAGGCATCCAGGGGATGCATTTGATGAGCCCACTCATCAGTTCTCTGAGACCTTATTTAAAGTTTCAGCATTTTGATCTGTCATCAGGAGATGACGTGTTTAGAGCAAAAAGCACAGGGTGGGGGTGATCCTGTGGTGGCCCTGGGGTGATGTTCCAGACCTGTGTCTGGGGGGCTCAGATGGCCAGGAAGGATTTAACCTGAAAAAAAGGAGCTGAGAACTGGCTGGTTACTGCCAAAAGTAGGAAGTTTCTCACCCTTCAGCAGCCTGCAAAGTGTACATCTGACACCAAAATGCAGATTTCTGCCTCAAATGAAGACGCCAAAACCACAGGTATCTCAGGCAGCCTCTGCAGCCTCGTCTGGACCGGCTTTGCTAAGCCTATTAGCAAAAGCTATTTTTAATACCCACTCAAAATACCAACCAAATTGGTTCCTTGGCAGAAGCGTTTTTCCCATGCAAGCGGAGCCTAACACTGCACCGCGGGCCAGGCACTGCTGCCTGCGCGGTGTGGCTGTGGAAAGTTACCGCAGGGCAAGACAGTGGCCCCCCACATCCAGGGATGCGGAAGAGGGGATTGCGTACTAAGAGGGTGATAGCGCTGGGTGGCAAACCACACTTCAGGTGCCAGCAAGCAGAAACATTCCCTAAAGCTTCACTGGAAAATCCCACGTAAATGCGTGGTGACTTGCAGACAAGCAAGGTGTGATTCAGTGTTGCTCCACTACAATCAATGATGCTGCCTTGTGCCGGCTAAGGATCTGGCCCAGGGCATGCAGCCATTGAAAATATTCACCATGACCAAGGCTGAGCCTTGCTGATAAACCTGACATTTAAAAGACTGTTCAATACCAGTGTCAGAAACCTCCCCTGACAAATGTAGTCGTTCCCAGCAAGCTCCTTGCTACTTCTATGCTGATCAAAAAATTTTTCTCCTCTCTACCTCCTAACAAGGTTTACATGCGTGTACAGCGTATGCTGTAGGCACACATGAAAAAAAAATTTTCTATTTTTGTTTTCTGTGATGTCTCATGTTATTTTCTGTGCTCTACTGCAGTTCAAGTAACCAAAAGGGATATCATCTTTCTTTTGGATGGATCACTCAACGTTGGAAATGCCAACTTCCCCTTTGTGCGTGACTTTGTTGCCACCCTAGTTAACTACCTTGATGTCGGCAGTGACAAAATCCGAGTTGGCTTAGTGCAATTTAGCGACACTCCTAAAACCGAGTTCTATCTGTACTCGTACCAAACCAAATCAGACATAATCCAACGCATGGGGCAGCTGAGGCCCAAGGGGGGGTCTGTGCTGAACACTGGCTCCGCACTGAACTTTGTGCTTTCGAATCACTTCACGGAAGCTGGTGGGAGCAGAATAAATGAACAAGTGCCACAGGTCCTAGTCCTTGTGACGGCAGGGAGCTCTGCCGATCCCTTCTTGCACGTTTCCAATGAATTAGCTCGGGCCGGAGTGCTGACTTTTGCTGTTGGAGTTAGGAGTGCGGATAAGGCAGAACTCGAACAGATTGCCTTTAATCCAAGAATGGTACATTTTATGGATGATTTCAGTGATCTGGCAGCTTTACCCCAGGAGTTAAATAAACCTATAACAACATATGTTAGTGGAGGTGTGGAAGAGGTTCCACTCGCCCCAACAGGTAATGCCTACTTTCCTTCGTGTTGACTGCATTAAGTTAATCTTGTTTCTCTTGGCTATTTGTTCCCAACGTACATCACCATGTCTGCCCAAGGCCCTGAGTCACCAAAGAGGTTAGGGCCAGGGGTAACCTTAAATACGTGGCTTGACACGTATTCAAAGCTAATTTAACCCTTTTTAGGGTTAACCCTTTTTAAGCAGGTATTTGCTCACTAATTCCCCCATTGTGGCTATGTGCATATGAAGAGCTAAGAACAAGCAGGATGACTTAGTCTGGAAAGAGATCATTAAAATTAATATGAGAGATGTTAAGAAACACAAATGTGAGATGCTTGGTTTTGCCTTGGATATTCCATGAGATTAAAAGGGCATCAAATGGCAAAATGTAAAAGGCTTTTTCTCCCACCAAAGTCATAACTCACCTATGGATTTAGATACTCCTTGTGATGCAACTGGGAGAAGTACTGTAAGAAAACACGTAAAATGCTTTGTGTGTGTATGTACATATGAACTAACATCTGTTATCTGCTGAGCCTTTAAATAGAAAAAAAGCCCAACCCTCCACTGCTGTTGTACTCCATGCCTGTATTACTGGCATATTGCTAGACCACAAACGTCACTAGGCTGATCTGAAACAGTCAATTTACGATATGACTGATGTGATACAATGTAATATATGATACGACTATCTGGTGCCTGAACTTATTCAGTCTTATGATAGAGCTGTCCTTGCTTCCCCTTCTTCCTCAGATAAATAAGTCAAAGGTACTGTTTAGTCCTGTACCTTCTGAATACTTTGGTAAATGAAAATCACTTGATTTGCATACTGAAACCCAGCTAATTTGCAGAGAAGTTTCTAGGATGACATTTAAGAAGAAAAATGCCTTCATACCTTTTTTCCCCCCCTCTTTTCATTTGTGAATTTATTCTAGAAAGCAAGAAAGATATTTTATTCCTGATTGATGGCTCAGCCAACCTCTTGGGTAGCTTTCCTGCTGTCCGGGACTTTGTACACAAAGTAATTTCTGAGCTGAACGTGGGTCCCGATGCCACACGAGTAGCTGTGGCTCAGTTCAGTGACACCATCCAAGTTGAATTTGACTTTGCTGAGCTCCCATCCAAGCAAGACATGCTTCTCAAAGTGAAAAGGATGAAGATAAAAACCGGGAAGCAACTGAACATTGGAGCCGCGCTAGATGAAGCTATAAGGAGGCTGTTTGTGAAGGAAGCTGGAAGCAGGATCGAAGAAGGGGTTCCTCAGTTTTTGGTCCTCCTTGTTGCTGGGAGATCAACTGACGATGTGGAGCAACCATCGGATGCTCTGAAGCAGGCTGGAGTTGTGACCTTTGGTATCAAAGCCAAAACTGCCGACTCTGGAGAGCTGGAAAGGATCGTTTACGCCCCACAATTCATTCTGAACGTCGACTCCCTCCCTCGGATTTCAGAGCTTCAGCCAAACATAGTCAACCTGTTGAAAACTATCCAGCTCCAGCCAACAGGTACAGGGGTTTCCAAGAGGCTGAAAGACACCACTTACATGCCCCCTTCCCGCCCCCCCCCTCAGTTTGGTAACTGGGGCAATTTGGTCTGGTGATGTTTAAAATGATTATGTAGAAACTGCTATTGTTCTTGGATTTTCCTCTGGTCAGACCAAGCATTAAGGTCCAAACTGAATTTTAAAGATGAATAAGGAAAAAGCCTTTCATTTGTCTGCAAGAGCTGCAGTAGGTGGTCCCGCCAGAGTGTAAAACATGGTACAAACCTGAAATACGAGAGTCGTTGGTGCAGAGATCTTGCATAAATTGATGTGCAATGCTGGACAAAGTCTAGAAGCAGCCAATAAAGGCTTGTATCAATTTCTCTTTCCTTCCTCCCTTTTCTGGAGGAATGGTGGAGAGTAAGAAGCACTGCAGCGTGCTGGATTCACTATTGTTCTGTTATTTCTTATGGGATATGACAGCAGTTTCTACATTTTGTACCTATGCACCAATAAATTAGATGCTCTTGAATCAGTTACCATTACAAGCTCAGTAGATGAGCATGGATAAAAGAATTCAAACAAACAAACAAAAAGAATCAGACTGCCACAACTAGAAATCGACACTGCGGTACTCGAAATCATGCACGTCCAGCTGTGTGATTTCCTGAGGCAGCCCTAATTTGAGAATTAACCTCTCTCCCAATAGCAAGCACGGACAAGGAAAAGTGTAATGACTTCCACATCATCTCTCCATAAATATTCTGGGCAGACAGATCTAGAATCGTAGAAACATAAAAAAGAAATAGGGCTGGAAGGGATTTCAGGGTGCCATCTGCTACATACCCTTGTCCCCAACAGGGTCTTCTTGTCCAGCACCAGGTGACATTGGTCTACGCTGTTCTGAAACCCCTCCGGTGGAGATTTCCCCAGCTTCCATCATCAATCTGCCCAATTGCTTTTATCCTTATCTGTAGGTAGTTTCCCTCAATGACAGACCTCTCCCTTCCTAGTCGTAGTTTAAGCCTTTTACATCTCTTTCAGTGCTTTTCAATCTCTTTCAAACGCCCATTGCCGCGTTTTGTGTGACAGCCTTTCATGCACTGTAAGCTTGCCATGCACGTCTTGTCTTGGTCCTCATGTCACCAGCTGTGTACCCACCTCAGTCTTTCCTTGTAGGTCTTGCATGTATTCTGCCTTTTCACCCTGGTCTCTCCAACGTCAGCTTGCTCCAAACCACCAGAGCGTAACAATGGTGTGCCCTGGTCATCTCTTACCCCATCCTTTCCACACAGAGTCATTGCCTTCCCATATTTGTGTGGCTTCTGCCTCGACACAGACTAGAGCAACTGGTGCTCTTGAACTGTCAAACGGCTTCTGTCTTGTCAAGATCACTTACCATCCCTTTGACCACCAAGTACTACGAACAATTGTGCTAACTGCTCGCAAATACTTGCTGCACCCACCTACTTTTCCTAGTATTCTTGAATGAAAGAGAGCCAACCCATAAAAGTACCCATATATTTTCCTTCTCTATCTGCTTCCTAGACGCTTTTGTTAGAATTCTCTTCCTCTGCTCCTGATCTTCAGAGGAAGCTTACAAAACTGGGATACACCAGGCTCCCTCTTCTTATCTGTATTGCCCAACAAGCTCTATTAATATTTCAGTCCTAGGCATTAACCCACTAAGTTTCCAACATTCCTCTTAAATAACAAACTTGATCTGAAGCCTGCATTAAGGCTTCAGCCGCCCCTGTTAACTCTTTAGATGTCCAGCATTCACATCCAGATATTTAAGATTTTCTTCAGAGGGATAGGTCATGCTCCTGCTTGTCCCACTTGACCCCGCTAAAACCAAGCCAAAGCCACTTTTGGGGATGCCATCCATCAGTTGCTGTGCTTCAGCGGCACAGTGATGTTTTCTGCTTGGCTGAGCCGAAGCTTCGCAATTCTGTTAGCCAATAGCAGAACACATTGACAATTCCCTGATCTTTGACATTTTATGGTCTTGGTTTTTAAAAAGAATGTTTGGTCACCATTAGCTTTTCTTTGCGCTTGAAGTTAGTAAAAAAAAAAATATAAATAAATCAGCATCTAGCATTTGAGAAAAGCATTTCAGCATTTTCAGTTGAATGTCCTTTCCAGCAAATTCTTATTTTGTCTGAGGATGTGCAGGATTACTTATTTTTCTAAGGTCAGTGATCCCTCAGAAAAGCTTTTTTCTCTCTTCACCGACCCCCTGTGAGCACCCTTCACTGCAGTATGCCATTTCCTTCAGAAACTCAGTTTTCTCTGGGTGCAGAAGATCCCCGGTGCTCCAGATTTCTGCTGCACATTGCAAAGCCGTGTGCCAGCTTCTCAGCCCCCTTCTCCCAGCCTCAGGTAGGGGATGGCACCCGGAGTCCCTCCGCACCCTATTTCCTATGGTCTATGATTCTGTGACTCGGTGGGTAAGGCACGGCACACATTGCACTGCTGTTTCCACCGACTTCCACCCATCCGCCTCTTCACCAGGGATTGCATCTGATGGCAAAGGAACCGAAGCACCCATCCTGACACCTCGTTTTCCCCTCCCTGAGCTTTTCTACTCCTTCAGTTCGATGTATGAGGAGAAAAATAATCACTGCAAAAGAAAATCTCACTTATTCCCCCCCCCTTCCCTTACTTGTCTCAAACAGTAGTTGAGAGAGGTGAGAAGAAGGATGTGGTGTTCCTAATCGACGGCTCGGATGCTGTCAGAAGAGGTTTTCCTCTACTGAAGACCTTTGTCCAACGTGTTGTGGAAAGCCTGGATATCGGTCGTGACAAGGTCCGTGTCGCCGTCGCGCAGTACAGCAATGTCATACAGCCCGAGTTCTTACTTGACACCTACGAAGACAAAGCAGATCTCATCAACGCCATCCAGGAGCTGAAGATTATGGGAGGATCTCCTCTGAACACTGGAGCAGCCCTCGACTATCTCATCAAGAATGTCTTCACGGTGTCGAGCGGCAGCAGGATAGCGGAGGGCGTCCCGCAGTTCCTGATTCTGCTGACCGCTGACCGGTCCCAGGATGACGTGAGGAGGCCCTCGGTGGTCCTGAAGACAAGTGGCACAGTGCCCTTTGGCATTGGAATTGGAAATGCCGACCTCACAGAGCTGCAGACGATTTCTTTCCTCCCGGATTTTGCCATCTCTGTGCCTGACTTCAGCCAGCTGGATACAGTGCAGCAGGTCGTCTCCAACAAAGTCATCCGGCTGACCAAGAAAGAGATAGAGTCACTTGCCCCTGATCTGGTTTTCACATCACCCAGCCCAGGTGAGAAGATGTTTGTGTCTGCACCAAGAGCCAGCGGCAAAATATGATGTTTAGTAACATCATGGTTGCAACACAAACCGAAAAAAGCAAATATGGTCACAGCTAAGACTCCCAAGTCCATCATGGTCTCACTGTCAATGTATTTTTTTGATGTACTTAGGGTTGGTAGGAGCTATGTAATTCAGCTAAGCCACCTTTAAGCCCAGTCCCTCAAGGTGGTCCATGTTGTATCCACATGGAAGACCCACAAAGTGAATGCTACGACCTTAACCTTACTTTAAATTGATGGATTTTAAGTCCATGCTATTCCTCCTGGAACAGAAATCGCGTCATTTAGATGATACAGGGACACCTTCATGCCACTATAAACCACAGTCAGCTTTCTGCTAAATGTAAGACCTGCGGATGTGTCTTACATTTGCCAGGCTCATTCACTGGGGGAAGGGAAACTGCAAGCAGGCTTTGGGAAAAGGATCAGATCTTGCATTTCTGGTCTTGCTTGGAATGAAATACAGCCAGTGTATGCCTGGGATGAAGGGTACCCCAGACCAGTCCCTTTGAAGTCCACCATCCTGCTCTATCTGTTCCTTCCCCTCACAGTCAGACTGCTTTCCTCCATCCCCATTTATCAGTGTGATAATCAGCAATAATTCAGGCGCTGACCTGAATTACCACTGCAGAAAACACTTCATTAGGAAGAAAAAAGTCATCCTGGAAATGCAGAAGCTGAGAGAATAATAGGATAGAAGCTGTCCTAGAGGACAAAGTCAAGGAAAGATGGGCAGTACCAAGTGTAAAACAACTCCAGGCTGCCTGGCAACATGCCCTGAGTAAGGAGCATCACCAGGCTACATTTCCTGGGGTAGAGATTCCATGAAGAATTATTGTTCCAGGTTTCCCCTTCTCCCTATTGCTTCCTTTGCTCTGGAAGTTGTTGTTCTTGCACTGCCTGGGGACATGCCTCTCAGACTGGTCCTGTCTCTGGGTTGAGCCCAGAGCTGCCTGCTGGGGTTCCCAGGAGATATCACAGGGAACAGAACAACAGGCAACCTCCCCATGGCCAAAGGCATGGGCCAGTGATGTAGATGATGAGCTTCGCTGCTCTCTCTAAGCAATGCCTGATGCATCTTCTGACTGCTGCCTTCTTTCCTGCAGCGGGTGTGAAGAGGGACATCGTGTTCATGGTCGACGGTTCCCGCTATGCCGCTCAGGAGTTCTACCTCATCCGCGATCTCATCGAGAGGATAGTGAACAACCTAGATGTGGGCTTTGACACCACACGGATTTCGGTGGTCCAGTTCAGCGAGCATCCCCACGTGGAGTTCCTGCTCAATGCCCACTCCACCAAGGATGAGGTGCAGAGCGCCGTGAGACGGCTGCGGCCGCAGGGTGGCCAGCAGGTGAACATCGGGGAGGCCCTGGAGTTTGTGGCAAAGACAATCTTCACCCGGCCCTCCGGGAGCCGCATAGAGGAGGGCGTCCCTCAGTTTTTGATCATCCTCACCTCCCGCAAGTCCGATGATGACTTAGAGAGCCCATCACTCCAAGTCAAACAAGTGGGGGTGGCACCTATGGTGGTTGCAAAGAACGTGGATACTGAGGAGATAGTACAGATTTCCCTTAGTCCCGATTACGTATTCCAAGTCTCCAGCTTCCAGGAACTTCCCAGCCTTGAGCAGAAGCTGCTGGCACCTATTGAAACCCTGACTGAGGACCAAATCAGACGGCTGCTGGGAGATGTGCAACCCCCCGTAGGTAAGGCTCTGTCAAGAGCAGCTCCATCTGGGTTGCTATTCAAGTAAATATTGCCCAAATGTCTAAATAACTTTCCATCCCTTCTCTATAAACCAGGGGTTTACCTAGTTAAAAGCATGTTAAAAGCATGTTTCCTTAGCTAAAAACATCTACGGTTTTAGAAGAAAACTTTTAGATAAGTGGAAATTCTACTCAAGTACATAAACACATGATAACTTATGATTTTCAAGTCAAGTACCTGAATACCTTGCCCAAGTTGGTTTTCAGGTCAAATACCACAATGTGTACAATTGCCTATTCCCATTTAGCAGCTGTCTAGGAAAGACACATAAATCTGGGGCAACATGAAACTGGAAACACTGACAAATCCACAGAAGAGCGTTAATGAGCGAAACAGATAAGGCTCTGAATAATGCACACATTGAATATTAGGCAGACTGTTAACACACGCTTGCACACAAGCCCTTTGGGAGAGGCTCCCTGAAGCACCATGCCTAATATCAGCTAAAATACACTGTGCAGTTTTACCTTACACAAGAGCAGCTAGCACAGAAATCCTCCAGCAAAGCTTAAGCAAAGACTTGGCACACAAATAATTTCCTCTCTTCTTGCTTCCCTGCAGATTTTTCTGGTGAAGAAAAGGACATAGTCTTCCTTATCGACAGCTCTGACAATGTGAGGTCCGATGGGCTTGCTCACATTCGGGACTTCATCAGCAGAATCATTCAGCAGCTGGAAGTTCGGCCAAACAAAGTGCGAATCGGTGTGGTACAGTTCAGCAATAACGTCTTCCCTGAGTTCTACCTGAAGACCCACAAGTCCAAAAACGCCGTCCTGCAAGCCGTCCGCCGATTGAGGCTCAGAGGAGGGTCCCCCGTGAACGCCGGCAAAGCCCTAGACTATGTGGTGAAGAACTACTTCATCAAGTCTGCGGGGAGCAGGATAGAAGAAGGTGTGCCCCAGCACCTAGTCGTCATCCTCGGAGACCGGTCCCAGGACGACGTGAACAGGCCTGCTAACGTGATCACGACAACCAGCATCAAACCCCTGGGTGTGGGAGCCAGGAACGTGGACAGGGGCCAACTGCAGGTCATTACCAACGATCCTGCACGTGTGCTTGTGGTACAGGACTTCCCCGAACTCCCAACTTTAGAAAAGAAGATACAGAGTATTCTTGAAGAACTTCCAATATCTACAACAGAAACCCCTGGATTTCCAGGACCTGGTAAGACTGCTATTCACCCTGTAGACTTTTCTGGACAGAGCACAGTTAGATTTTCTATAATGTGAAAATGATTCTTTCCTACACTCAATATAACACCACCTTTTGATTCCCAACTGTTTAGTCCCATTGCTTTAAAAAAGACTTTGAAGAATATCTTGTTGAGCATAGAAAATAATAGAATTAAATTTGAAATGAGATGAGGGCATCCATCACAAAAACAAGTGATGTTGTATGAAGTATGATAAACGTGTTGTATAGAACCTTTTTTCTTGTATGGATGTAAAAATCCAACAAAGACCGATGAAACTAAAGAAGTAGAAAGAAGAGAGAAAAACAATGCTACTTCACAGAACACTAAGCACCTTAAGTATTACGGATGCCACAAACCATTAATAACTGTGTTTGCTTTGTCATCCTTTCAGTAGGTAAAAAGCAGGCTGACATTGTGTTTTTGCTGGATGGCTCCATCAATCTGGGGAGGGATAACTTCCAAGAAGTTCTCCAGTTTGTCTACTCTGTGGTGGACGCCATTTATCGGGACGGCGACTCTATCCAGGTAGGACTGGCCCAGTACAACTCAGATGTCACCGATGAGTTTTTCCTCAAGGACTACTCCACGAAACCTCAGATTTTAGATGCCATCAACAAAGTCATCTACAAAGGTGGCCGGGTGGCAAACACTGGTGCAGCCATCAAGCACCTCCAGGCAAAACACTTTGTGAAGGAGGCCGGCAGCCGAATTGACCAGAGGGTGCCCCAGATTGCCTTCATTGTCACGGGTGGGAAGTCCTCGGATGACGGGCCCAGTGCCTCCTCGGAAATTGCACAGAAAGGCGTCAAGGTATTTGCAGTTGGTGTGAAAAACATCGACCTGAAGGACGTCAGCAGCCTGGCCAGTGAGAGTGCCACGAGTTTCCGAGCGGCCACAGCCCAGGAGCTGTCTGAGCTGAACGAGCAGGTCCTGGTTACGCTGGAAGCTGCTATGGAGGAGAAATTGTGCCCAGGACTGACAGACGTTACAAGAGGTAAGTGTTATCCTTTCATAACGTGCTCAGGTCACTTGCAAGGGTGGCTGTTAATATCCAATACGTTTTGATGGACCTGTCCAGCCTGCACTTGTGCTTTGCCCATGAGGTGCAGCACAGGCTTGGACCTCCTCCATGAGCGTGGTAGTAGGCTGCAAGCCTTTGCTACAAGAGCTGCCTGTTCATGTGCTCCAGCACATGGATGACTGGTGTACCATCAGTGCAGAGGCACAGTCATGTTGGAATAATTTCAGATATGACAGGGACTGTATCACTGGCCTCCTACCGCTGCATCGGAACAGCTCCTTTATTGAAGCTGCCTTTAGACCAGATCTCACTACCTTCCACCCCAAATGTATCGGCACATGATGCCAGTATTGGCAGACCAACTTGCTTAGTGCCAAAACAAAAACTGATGGTCCTTTTTTTTTCCCCACTGGGAAGCCAATTGGACTCCTTAGCCGTTCAGTCCCTGGCATGCATGATGTGCTGGAGAACAGAATTCCTCTTGCCAGATCATCCAGAGTGCCCACTCAATCTTGTGACAGGTATATGAGAAAAAGCTAGGGCACAAGTGGTTGTAGTTTAAGGCAAAATTGCCTTAAAAAGGAATCCCATGATTTGCCTACTTGGGGTGAGTAAGCGAGCTGGTATTCCCATCGGAGCAGTCCCCCAGCAGCTGGTTTAACTCACTACAGTACAGCAAGCCCTACTCCCAGTACAACCAACCACAGCTCAGCGAACTGGCTTTTAAGCAGTGGTGTCTCCAGAACCTCTGGAGAAGGTGAAGGCGAGCCACAGCAGCCCTCAGCTGAGCAGCAGCTCCAGCCGAAGATGAAAAACTGAGCACGGGGAAAAGCAAACCACTGCAGGTGGTAACCCTGAGTGTAGCGCCGGTGTGATTAACACCAGAGACATTTCAAACACTTCCCTGTTTGAAAGCGTGCATGGGTACAGGCAATGTTACATCCAGTCAAAAGGCGTCCAGCAGCCTCATTTCCCCCGGCTCCAGGTTGACGGGCAGCTCGGGGGCTGCAGGGTGGCTCCAAGCCCACGCTAAATATTCCTGCAGAACGACAGACAGTGCATCGCCTCGTTAGCTTGGGCTGAGAAACTTCAGTACCTCTTTCCGCCCAGCTATCCCATCTAAATCTTAGATACACCTTTTGGGGACTTGAGATCAGTCATCTGGTTGTTGCCTCTATGTCCCTGTGACTGGGGGATGAATGCTTCAAGAACAGGCAGAAGGTACTTGCACAGTGTCGCAACAGCTCCATCCCTCTGTCTCCTGGGCAGGCAAGTGACGGCGGAGATTTGAGTCAATTCCTCTGTTTCTTCTTCAGCTTTGGGGTTAGGCTGGCATTTGCAGCTGTGGGTGCAAGTCCTGGAGCATTGTCTAGAAGCGTTGAGCCCTTTGTGAGTTGCATGGCCACCCCTGCAGTGTCTGAAGTGCTTCTTCTGGGTGCAAGAGTGGGTGCCAAAGGCAACTGGACAAGGCTCTTGGCAGGCTGGCAAGACTCCCTGGAGCAGGAGCGTGGCAAGCAGTTGCTGCAAAGGAGATGGGCAAGTAGGAGCTTGTCCAGTTTCCAATGTTGCCTCCAGTGAAAAGAAGGTCCACAGAGGCGGGGGAGTCAGCATGCTAGAAACTTGGGAGACCTGCAGTTGATGGGGTGATCCTACCGGTCTCCAACTCAAAAGAGCCCCAAAGAAGAAAAAAAACCTGTGCAAGACAACAAAGGAAATAAGAAAGGAAAAACCTCAGTGAGACTGCTCTCATCATCAGCAAGTATTCCAAATCCTCATGAGATGCCAAGACAGCTGCCTGATGTAGGTTGTCCCTCCCTCAGAACCCAATGGAGCCCCAAGCCAACCCAGAAACCGATCTAGAACTAGAGTGATCTGGAACATGGTCTAGAACTTTCAAGCGAGCTAGAACATCACCTAGAATCCTGAAGTCACCTAGAACCAACAAGCAAGCTAGAAATATTATTTAGAAACATCACTTGCGCTAGGACCTGCCCTGGAACCAGGAAGCAGTCCTGAACTTGTTGATGTGAGCTAAACCCAGCAAGTGACCTGAATCACAACTGACAAGCTGTGACAAGTAGTAATCTAGAACCAGTAAGTGAGAGAGAACATAGTCCAGAAATTGATGTAGAACTATCAAGCAAGCGTGAACGCACTCTAGAGCATAGTCTAGAACCTGATCTAGAA